GATGGCAAGAAATCCTTGATGCAAGACATGTCAATGATTAAGAATGTGAAAATTATTAATTACAATTCTTTGGATTGTTTTAATCGGCAAGTTTTTTATAAAGAAAAAGTGTGACTCAAACGCTCTAATTTTTAATTTTTTAAAAAAACATAAATAATAGTCGTGTGGATACCTTTTGGGTAACGTGTTACGTGTGAGGCCCAACTTCTCCACCTTTTAAAGTATCCTGGGACAACCATGAGATGCACTGAAAACTTCTTAGTTGGCAAACCACAACCGCCCATTACTTCTAACACCAGCTAATCATGTAAACGTTGTACATCTTTGAAGTTTGTATTTCGAGTTAAAAGACAACCTATCTCAGAGTTACGATTAAGGCATGTGCGTATACATAGCAAAACCAAGCCAAACATGTCACTTAAATCTTGTTTGGATGTAAGTTCTACGCCTATGAAAGGAACATTTTTTGAAATACCCACACCAAAAGATCAATTACCTCATGATGTTTTCCACTTTCTGACTAAGACAGGTTATGGATCAAGAAGCACATCACTTTTAGCCCTCCCACTGCACTTTTAGTCCTCCCACTATTATGGCAAACTAGGAAGCACGAAAACGCCGAGCAGGGGGAGGTTTCCGTCCCAGAAACGTTTCGGAAACGTGAAACGCCGGGAAACGGCCGGAAACTCCATGGAAACGTCCGGAAACGTCCGGAAACGTTTCTGAGATTTTGGGATGTTGGGACGGGTTGGGAAATGTTTCAGAAACGTCGTTGGGCTTGGGCCTACGCGTTTCCGTAGAAACTTAAAAAACGAGCTTTAATCACTTACCTCTGCGCGAAGACCTAACGTCTGTGTCACTGCGAACGAAGAAGGGTAATCTGCGAAGAGGGAAGACTACAAACGAAGTGTGAACTGCGAAGGAGACAGAGAGTCAGAGACCATCGTGAGGCAGGGAGTGCTGCGCCGCTGCCGTGCTGCCGTGCTGGACTTCAGCTATTAGATGTTAAATCTGCGAAGGATGTTTTTTACTGGGGTTGCCATTTAATCTTGCCAGGAATCCATATTATGTAAGAGCTTTTTCCTTTGCTGCCAATCATAATAGGAGGTTATGTCCCCCTGGGTTATAATAAATTAAGAACTTCTTTACTTCAATAAGAGAAGGCAAATGTTGAGAGGAGTGACGGTTGCAACTGACACTACAACAAAAGTGACCTTTGGCAACACTTTGTTTGTAACACTTGTTTTTTGTGTTGCATAAAATATTTGATATTACAATCTTGTAACACCTATATAAAAATGTTGCATAAACCTCTGGACCGTATATTTATGCAACATTTCCTTATATGTGTTGCATATATTAAGTATTATGTAACATTAATGATAAAGTGTTGCAATAACTTAAAATATAAATACGATATATATATTCACATGACATTATTTGTGCATTTTTACAATTATGCATTTAAATATGTCAAATGGAACTTATTTGCTTAAATACTTAATTTTGCGGAAACAGTTCTTCAATCTCTTCTCAATTTTCCTTCCCAACTGGTTTCTTTCCCTAAAATATCTCGGTTCTAAACTGACCTAAGGCAATGGGTATTTGAAAGTTTTCTTTGCGAAATTTAGTTTATAGGGATGAAATATGATAATGGTATTTTCTTTGCTGGAACAACTATAGCACTCAAGAAAAATAGAGGATAATGGGTTAATCAATCGAGTCAATTAGCTCATCATCTTCATCATAACCTAAAATATTAAATAATGTCTTATTTTGTCTCTCAAGAATTAACCACACATCAAATATGAATGAGTTTAACATCTCCGCACTATTTGATTCCTTAGTAGCTGAAGTCAATAAATTGCAGCCTATAATGGGCTGAAATGCATCGCCAAAATCCCTATTCGTACACTTCCCTCTCTTCCTAACTACATATGAGGGGACCCAAATACAATTTGCTGCTTCGTTATTAGAGGCAATTGCCTCTGTCTGCATGGGAGTTTTCTTGAATTCTAGTGTTAAGGGCCTCCTCTTCTCTTTTTGGTTGGTTGATTGATAGGCGCTAGTTGTTAGTGCCTAAGTATACATTTTTATTATTGTTTGTAATGTTTATTTACTAGTTTTGTGCAAGTTTATAGTTGTTAGTTTGTATTTGATTGTAATCGTATTTCTAGCATTTTATTGTTTGTTGTAAGTTGTAGTTAGTTTGGCTATAAGTTTAGGATAGGTTTGAAAGCAAAAAGGATGAAGAAACCTGAGTTTTGTGCAAAACCCGGTCGGGTATGGACTTTACCCGGCCGGGTATGAAGTGACAAAGGAAACTGCTGCAAAACTAGCAAATACCCGGTCGGGTATTCCATATACCCGGTCGGGTATGAAGTGATTTCGGACCAAAGAACGTGCAGAAGACACAAAAACATGGGAAAATATTTGATTTGGTAAATACCCGGTCGGGTATGTCAAAATACCTGGCCGGGTATCCGGCATTAGGTGTTGAAAACACCTATAAATAACCCCATTTTCCTTCACTTTTCATCATCCAATTCCTTTGTACATTTAAGCTCAGTATAGAATAGTTCTTTCTTTATATTTTTCATCATGTTTAGTCTCCAAATGAGGAGCTAAACTCTTCCATCTTGGTTTTGCTACTTTGAAGCTTAATGAATTTGTAAGTTGTGAGTTATTTTCTTTAAATCTTCTTCCTTGAATATTAATTCTTCCTTTAAAATACTATTTCTATATCAAAGTTGGGGAGTGTTACTAAGATGACAATTAGTTAACATCTTGACATTGGTTATAGTAATAGTTATTTCTTCCTCTATGTTAATATTGGGGAGTGTTACTAAGATGACAATTAGTTAACATCTTGATGTTAATCATAGTAGGATTCATATTCTTTAATATTCTTCCTTGAGTATTAATTAATTCCTATTCATATTTCATGTTAATATTTTATACATTACTTAAAGTATCAACTAGTTTTGTTTCTCATATTAATTATTACTAGAATCAATCGGTTAATACGCTTGTTATTAATCCGGTTCTTTCAACGGTAGTAAACTTGGAATATTAATGCATGCATCTCATGGTTAATATGCCAAGGGGAATTAATTATATTGATTAAACCAATAAACCGCTTGTGTTGAGGTTATCAATCTCAATCGTTTTCATCTTAAGTTTATTGCTACTATCAAGTTAATATACGGCGCTTGTTCTATATTGACTCGATGGTAAGTTTTATTAATGAACGCATCTCGTTATTAATAACTACCCTCGATGAACTGGATATACTCCTCGATTGAGTATTCGAGAGCAAGATAGTTAAAGATATAACCGGGATCGAAGAACATTTCATTAAGTGGACAAAAGCAAAACCAAGCCTCCACATCTATTAATTAAACTCATATAGGTTGTTTATCTTAGTGTTAATTGAATTAAATCAAATCAAACTGAAAACCCCCCTTGTTACTATTTACATAGAAGAAAAGTGTTCCTTTCCCCGTGGATATGAACCTTACTTCACTATACTACGTATTAGTGTTGTATTGTAAAATATTTTGAGTGCACCTCACGACAAAGTGCACGTCATTGATGTATTTTGTGTAATAAATAAATCTCAAATCTATCACAAGTACATTGTTTTCCCAATCGTGGTATTTGATATATGTACTTGAAATCTATGTTAAACACGCAGTCATTTATATCGTCATGTGGCATGCCACGTGTGCAATTAATAAGGAAATCAGTTCTATACGTGTTAAAACGCTCAATTGAATATTTTTTAATAGTTCGGAATTTAATTAGGTGTTTTCAAATTATGAGGGTTAATTGATTTTTTATATAGTGTGATGATTATTTGACAGTTTTCTTTTTAATATATCACTAGTATTTCCACCCGTGCGTTGCACGGGATGCAGTGACAATAACGAAACTAGTTCTAAAGAATGTAAGATTAATAAATACTGATACATTTATTATTAGAAATATATGTACATGTATTACTAAAATAAAGACGATCGATGAAAACATTACATTGCATGTCATATATAGTGATTATATTAGTAATTCTTGGTTACTATAATCATATTCCGTTTTACACTTTATAGTTACTATGATATTGCATGCATAGGAAATAATCACATTTTTATTCATAAAGTTAATTTCGATATATGATCAAATTGACGTCTCTTGATCAATGATAAGAAGGTTTGGACAATCAGTTTTGTTATTAGATTTGTGTGAATTTTATAAATTTAATACTTTTGTAGAAATACTTTTAACAAATATTATTTCATATTTAAAAAGTTTCATATTAAAAAATATTACTGACCAAACTTGATCAAGAAAAGCTAAGATGACCATGTTTTCTTAGAAAGGGAGAGTATTATTTTACGAAAAAATATTGTTACTTTATTTGTAGTATGTATACCTATTTAGATTTTTATTGAGAGGAAGCCACCTCTATTTGTCACTCTTTTTATCCACCAATGAATGATACATTGAATAAAATGTTAAAATTTGGATATTATCTATATTAAAATATCTAATACTCCCTCTATCTCATTTTATGATTTTTATCTCTCTTATCAACCTTTTCAGATTGTCCTAAAATAAATGTCATATTTCACGTTATTATACTTAAATTTCAACAATAACTTTTACCTTTTTAATAACTTTATTAATAATTGTGTCAACTAAAGTAAGACGCATAAAATGGGACGTAGATAATTGCTCTTTAAAAATGGTATCATATATTACCTCTTTGACAGAAGTGTTTCAAATGGCGGTAAAACTTTCTGCACAACACACATGAAAGGCATACCACATAGGCTGGGGTGGACTTGGTGGTGGACTCGGTTCGGGCCGGGCCCGGTTCGGGCCTTGAACCGACCGGGCCTCGGTTCACGGAAGGTAGGCCCGGAACCGGACCGGATAACCCCAGGTCCGGTTCGGTTCGGGTCACCCGCCCGGTTCACGGGCCAGGCCGCCCGCCGGGTCGGGCCTTTTAATTTTTTTTATTATATATTATATTATTAGAATAATTCTTATTACAATTACAATATATTATATTCTAATTCAAGTATATTTATTTCAAATAAGAAGTACAATTGAGAATTAGGATGAATTTAAAAAATGTAATACATTTTGTAATAAAAAAATCAATCGGAATCTCCGCCTTCAGTTGTTTCCTCCATAAAGTGGCGGGTGGGAGCAATGATAATTTCTTGAGCTCTTCGTTGGGCCTTCAACCAATCGTGAAAGCAAACTAGTGTCTCAAGAGAGCTCGGGCTCAACCTCGTTCTATAATCGGTTAGGACGTTGCCGGCTGCACTAAATTCTTGTTCCACGGCAACGGTTGATATCGGCATTGCTAGCACTTGCTTAGCCATCTTTGATAAAATTGGGAACGTTCTTTCATTTTCCTTCCACCACTTAAGAACGTCAAAGTCATCACCAACTTCATAATCAACATTCAGTGTTAGATACAAAGAAAGCTCGTTACCTGAGCTTTGTTCAGTAGCGGGAGTTGCTCTACTTTTTTTCAAAAGAGAACCAAAAGCGGATTTTAAAAGTGATTTTCCTTTAGATGAAGAATATGTTCGTTGCATGGGAGGGGGTGCATTACCATATTGTGCATGAAATTCATTATACAATTGATGAAATAAATTACTAACCTCGTTGAATTCTTGTTTAGGGTCGATGGGATTATCATCGAACTCTTGAGTTGGAAAAAAAGAAGCATAATAGTAATCTATACAATTTGCCAAGTAAGCAAGTTTATAACGAGGATCAAGAACAAATGCAATACCATATATATGCGGAATATGTGAATAATATTTTAAAAACTTTTGTTTCATGAAATCACAAAAATAACTAACGTAAGTGGCTTCGGAAAATTCACAAAAAGCGCCGGCGAGATTAACAGCTTCAACAAAAAATTCGTTTGCGGTAGGTTTATAAACATGACTAAAAGTTTGAGTTGCGTTATTAAAATATGCCAAAACATTAACAATTTTTTCACAAGTGTCGATGTCAGCCGGGTTTATAATATAGTTACAAGTTTGTCTTAAAAAAGCTGGAAAATGATCTTTATATCTAATAAGTACTTGAATTAAATTATAAGTACTATTCCAACGAATACACAAATCTTTAGGAAAAGCACAATAATTGACACGTCTATCCTTCAAATATTGCCGCCATTACATTTTTAGTGGAGTGCTAGCCCAAATCAATTTAATTCCCCCCTTCACTACCTCCAAAGCATTTCCTAATGCCGCTAAGCCATCTTGTACACACAAATTTAGAATATGACATGCACAACGTTGATGAAAAAGCCTACCCATCAATGTAGAAGCACCACACAATTCACGTAATCTAGGTATAGCAGCAGTATTATTACTAGCATTATCAAAACATACAGCAAACACCTTATCAATCAAATTATACTCAATTAAAATACGTTCAATGAGAATATAAATATTATCAGCAGTGTGACGATCATTGAATTCACGAAAAGCAAGAACACGTTTATGCATATTCCAATCATCATCAATATAATGTGCAGTAAGACCCAAATAATATAAATGATGATAAGTATCCTCCCATATATCGCTACAAATACTAACACGTCCATCAAAGTTTGCGAAAAATGTTTGTAATTTTTCTTTTTCCAAGTTATATTGCCTTATAACTTTTTTTTAATCGTTTTGTGACTATAATTTCTAAATTGAGGATTTAAAGTACCTTGAGCATAATCTCTTAAAGCAAGACTTTCGGAAAAAATATAGGGTAAATTTTCTTCAACATCTAAATGAGACATACCAGTCAAATGTTTTTTATCATCATAGGAAAATTTACCAAAGGGTTGAGAATTTGCAAACCTCGATATTTGTGTTTGCTTCCCCTTGCCTTTGTCTATTTTCACATACTCCACAAAGTGGGTGGACTGAAGATGCCTTTTGAGACTCATGTATCCGCCAGAAGTTCCCAAGCTAAACTCTTTCTTGCAATGATTGCAACTTGCGTACCATTTTTCGGTATTTTCGTCTTTTCTTTTTGTATAATTGTTTTCAATAATAGGAGATTTAGATTTCTTACCAATTTGGGTTGTAGTCGTTGAACGGCCCTCGTCCTCCAACTCTTGCTCATCATCCGGGGTGCCGTGAGTCCCATCGCCCCCCGCGTCCTCCTCCGCATCGTCATCCTCGAGCTCCTCTTCATCGATGGTTGTCGGGAATTGTTGTTCTTGTGCAAAGCGTGGATCATTTTGGGACAATAGGTGTTGTAGTTGCTCGTCGGACATCATCATATCATCTCGCCGTTGGTAATCCGTTTCAAAATCATCTCGACTTTGAAAAGAAGACTCGGCCCGCGCTTTACCTTTGCCTTTGCGTGAAGTAGATCGAGTCGATGCAATCTCCCTCTTGCGGGCGTTGGAGATTACCCACATCTACAAAATGTCTACCACGCTCCATCTTTAAAATTGAACAAATATTAGCAATTAACTAATATGAGAAATGTAAAAATGTAGCAATTAACTAATATGAGAAATGTAAAAATTAACTACTTTTTTTTTACTTTAATGAGCAATGTAGCAATTAACTAATATGAGAAATGTAAAAATTAACTACTTTTTTTTTACTTCAATGAGAAATGTAGCAATCAACTAATATGAGAAATGTAAAAATTAACTACTTTTTTTTACTTTAATGAGAAATGTAGCAATTAACTAATATGAGAAATGTAAAAAATAACTACTTTTTTTTACTTCAATGAGAAATGTAGCAATTAACTAATATGAGAAATGTAAAAATTAACTACTTTTTTTTACTTTAATGAGAAATGTAGCAATTAACTAATATGAGAAGTGTAAAAAATAACTACTTTTTTTACTTTAATGAGAAATGTAGCAATTAACTAATATGAGAAATGTAAAAATTAACTACTTTTTTTTTACTTTAATGAGAAATGTAGCAATTAACTAATATCAGAAATGTAAAAATTAACTACTTTTTTTAACTTTAATGAGCAATGTAGCAATTAACTAATATTAATATGAGAAATGTAACAATTAAGTAGTTTAACTAATATTAATATGACAAATGAAACAATTAACTTTAACTACTTAAACTAATATTAATATGACAAATGAAACAATTAACTACTTTAACTAATATTAATATGACAAATGAAACAATTAACTACTTTAACTAATATTAATATGACAAATGAAACAATTAAGTAATTTAATAGATAAACGAGAAGTCTAACAATTAACTACTTTTATAAAATGTCTGAATGTGTATAAGTCTATATCAATGAGTATAAGTATATATAGTATATATAATGTGTAAATATATTATAAGTAATATATAATATAATGTATAACTATATATAGTATATATAATATAATGTGTAAAGAATTATAATATGAATGTGTATAAGTATATATTTATAAGTAGATAATTAATATATAAGTAGATATAATAATTATATAAATTATATATATGTAGAAAGAATTTGGAGAAGATGAAGAATGAAGATGATTGAATATGAGAGATTGAGAGAATAGAGAATTTAGAGAGTAGAAAAAGTTGTAGAAGAAGATGTGTAAAAAATGTATAGAAAATAGGAGTATAAATAGGTTTTTTTTTTGTATACCCCCACCCTCACCCCACCCACCCTAACCCCCCAGACCCCAGAGAAGGTGATCTAGCCGTCGCTACAACCATTCCCTGAAGGACTGAACCTTCTTCTCCTTGAGTCTTGATGGCGCCAGCGATGAATGTATTGGTGGCAACGCCGGATCTTGTGGCGGTGAGGTTTCATTCTGGCAACGAACTGCTTGTGGAGGAGAAGAGAAATATGGAGGAAAAGAGATGGAAAGAAGAGGATTGCAGAAATTGAGGGATGAGGGTATAAGAAGAGGATGTGAATTTGAAAGGTGTCGATCATTTTAAAATGAAGGGTGAAGATTGATTTGTACAACTATTAGGTAGTATAAGGATTTGTAGGGAAAGTATACGAAGTCATATACTCCCTCCGGTCCTAAATGAAATTCATACTTGCTATTCATTAGTCAACTTAAATCACTCTTAATGTTTTATTTTATATATCAAATTTAAATTCTCTTGATCAGACTTTGTAGCGGTTTTAATGTAGTTTCTAAATATGTAAATTTTATTTGCTAAAAATAATCCGAGCGTGAACAGGGATCGAATTGTTTTATCGTCGTAAACCGTGAGTGAATTTCTTTTGGGACCGGAGGGAGTACTATCGTATAATTTGCATATGGGGAAAAGGGTTAAATAGGCTCTGGAACTAATTTAAAAAATCCAAATCACTCTTAATATATGAGGCTCTGTCCGGTCATCGTCATTTAAGGTGGTTCCCGATGGAAATTTTTGATGAATTTTTTAAAACATTTTCTTCATTAAATTTATTTTACTCATGACAAATTTCAGATAAAAATTAAACCTAAAAGGAATCCAAACCTATGAAAACCAGATTTATAATCGAATTGACCACCCCTAATTTGCACCTGCTATGAAATGATCAATTGAATAAATCAATTTATACTACGAGTAGTAAAAAGTACATTAAATTGGTGCATCATATGCTTACGAGTAGACGCTTCTCCGATTTCGCACTGAATTGTTGGGAAAGATGGCGACGCCCAATAGCCCAAATAACGAGATGGAATTTCACGACGCCGCTGATGAATTCCCGTTTGACGATTGCCGCGACGTGTTTTCGGATACAGATACGGACCCTGACGGTTCAGTAACATACCCGGATCCTAAACTGGACAATGAGAATCAAAAGTCCCATTCGCCGGAGACCACTCTACGGTTGCGGCAATCTCTACAGCGCTGTACGTCCCTCTTCGACTCTCCGGACCCTAGCTCGTTGGGAAGTGTGGAGAATGTTTCGAATTTGAGAGAAACAAGCTTAGAATGTTCAAATGAAATGAAAGAAAATGGGAATGAGGAGAATTTGGAGTCGCGTCAAATGAACGGAAATGAAAAGCTGGAAAGTTATAATGCCCTTGAACTCAGTTCAAGCTCGGGGACAGTAGAAAGTGGCTTGGGCAACGAGTGGAACCCGAATTCCTTCATTGTGGATAGACAAACAAGAGTTGATTTACACACAAGGCAAACTGACAATTCGAGTTTTGTGGTACTTTGTTCTGATTTAATAATAAAGGCTATAACAGTCCAAATTAATTTTCTTTTAATTGTTTTGATCTTCACAACTAAGCTCTTCTTGTATCCCATAAGAGCAATTTACTCCACCTATATGCTTGTGATGGATCCTTTTCGTGTTGTAAGGTCTTTGAAATCGTATATACTGAAAAAGTGTGCTAGACATTTCAGTTATGTGTGTGGGAATGCTTTGAATTTGGTGTCGGAATGGTTTAAAGAACAAAGATCATTTTGGAGGTTGGGGATGAGATGTGGATGGGGGATCTTGTGGTCAATATATGTAGCTGTTATTTTGGTAGGAATGTTGGTGTTGGCTTTTGTAATGGCTGGTTTGTTGGTAAGTTATTTTGTGGAAGAACCGGTGAAGATGGTGGAGGATTTGAATTTTGATTATACACAGAAAAGCCCCGTAGCATTTGTGCCACTCACAGGATGCCATGTGGATGGTAGCATGGTTGATGGGATGCATTATATCCCTCCTAATCATATGGTTCAGGCCACTGTTTCATTGACACTTCCTGAGTCAGATTACAACAGAAACCTAGGAGTTTTTCAGGTATGCTTTTCTCAGACCAGAAAATATGTTCGCAGGCGTTTTGGATGGATGTTTTGGAGGGGAATAAAAGAATAAAAGGTGATTGAAATGTTTAAGATCACATTTATTACGTTAATCTTTTGATTTCTATGAAGTAGACACACACTCACACACATATTTAGGTACATAGTAATCCCTTGAGAGCTTTCCCCTCCAGACCTCTCCATCCAGAATTTCAGAGGTCATATGCTTTAAGTCGCTTCTCCCTCTTTCGTGATCACGTTTATCATCCTGGATTGTGCTTATTAATGCATATAAAAAGTTAAATCTTTTTAAAAAGAATCTCTAACATAAATAAAAACAAGTTCGTATTTAACACACACATTGCCAGGTAGTTTGATCGTAAAAAGTGCTCTGTTGGTTACTAATTAATCCTAGGTAGCACGGAAAAGCGAAACAGAAAACGTGAAACGGCTAATCGAGATCTGATAAATGGGATTTCAAAACATATAGGATACAAAATGTGGGGGAAATGCGTAAATATAAATCATATAAAGATATATTTATAAATATTTTTCATATATGTGGCCAGTGCACATATCTTTCATTTACAAATATGCAGATATTTTTTTACATAACTTTGTCCGGTAACCGATAATAAATATAGTCTACATGTTCAAGTTTAAGGAATATGATGGAATAAAGCAAAATGGCTCACTAAACTGTTTGCGCTTCTTTGTTATGAAGCACCGGTCAGTCCATACAATTTTGACACGGTCTTCACTATGGTCATCCGGAAACAGTCTCTCTACACTTTAGTACAGGGGTAAGGCTGCGTACATCCGACCCCCCCTTAACCTAGTGTAGGTGGGAGCCCTTGCGGCACTAGGGACTAGGGTAATGACGATGAATGAATGATGAATGGATGTTCAAGTTTTAGAAATTTTTACATACACATACTAGTACATAATTAAACATCAATGCAATTCATTTGCAGGCTTGCAGCAATGTATTGCATTATGAAATATCCCAAAGTTGTTGAAAAAAAATCTCATAAAAATCCACTAATAAGTTTGAAAAAGACAATACTTTCCATTAAGAGTTCCCGTCAAAAACAAAACCGAAGCTGCCGAAATGTTAACTATTTAGGGAAAAGGGTTTCCCAATTCTTCTGAATTATGCAAATATCCCCAAAACAGTAATTTGAAGTTTCCAAAACGGGAAATGTGAGCCATAGAAATTCGTGTGCTTCTTAAATTAAGCCTGGTGCTATGATCATTAAGGTGCTAGAAGTTCACTAATATTAACTGTTACTTAAATTCTGAAGCGTAAGTGTGTTTCTTTTTCAACTGACACTGCTAAAAATCGGCAAAAAGAAATTGCTTCAAGAAGTACTACAAAATCACATTGCTTCTGGAACGATTTTGTGGAGTTGTATGATGTCTGGTACGTGGTAACTAGATAAATGGAAAGCATACAATGTTCTGAAAGGGCCAAGTGCTAAGCAGGCGGCAAACTAGAGCCTAGTTCGTAGGTGTGAATATGGGATCTGGGCGGCGGTTGGCCCTAATGATGGATTTAGAGGAGCGGGGGAGACTGCGACTTTCGGATTTTAAAAAATCATTACGCATATAATACTTTCATTAGTTCTTCATAGGAAATCCCAAAAGAACAAAAGGCGCCATAGCATGAGGACTAGGTCGCATTCCAAACGATTTCTTTGGGCCTATATTTTTTATCTTCTCTTTATCCTTTCCCTTTCTGTACCGCTGTGTTTCTGTTTCCTTTCTGTATGTTTTTTATTTTTTCGCTTTGTACCCTTACCTTTTATGAAATAAAATTCTCTTTAAAAAAAGGTGTTTTTAAATAAATCTACTAGACATGCTAAAAGGTGGCCTTTAAAAAATTAGGCCCAAGGGAGTTGTTTGAACTGCGACCTAGTCCCTCATGCTATGACGCCTTTTGTTTTTCTGGGACAGCATAGAAGAGTTAAAAGGTGTTCCTTAAAAAGGCAGTCTTTTATTCTAGGGAAAGAATAAGCTATACATCTCCTGGGCCCCAAAACAGTGTTCGGATTTCAGGCCTCCATACTTTTTGAGCTGTTGAAGAAATTTAATTTTATAAAAGGTTCTTAACTAATGGATCCAAAACAAATGGGCTCTTAGTTTTTGGAGGATTGGGCCATCGCCCACCCTATCCCCTCCTACCACTGGGACTAGATGGGGTTAGGCAGAGCATAGGCGGGATGGCGAAGGGCCAATTAACTAGTAAATGGTTCCTTTTATTTGTTTATTCATGAAATAATTGCATATTTATGACTAAAATAAAGATTGTTTACAAACATGTGATTGGTGACTTGAGTAGTAATGAAATCATAGTAACTTATGTTCAATTTTTAAACTAAGTTACCATGACACTACATTGTAGTAACTATTAATCATATTTGTGTAAATAAGTTTTTTTTAGTAATATTTTTGAGAAAAACCCTTTATTTATTTATTGTTTAAGTTAATTACTAACTAATTAATGAATTTATTTGTTTGGGTGTTATTTATTTATTTAGTTATTTACTTATCGTTTCATGTATATGTATGTATGTTTTAAGGTAAGGGTTGATTTTCTAACGTTGAATGGCATGGTACGAGCAAGCTCTAGGAGACCGTGTATACTTCCCTTCAAAAGCCAACCTATACGCCTTCTCACTACTTTCTTCAAGATAGCCTCTCTCATCACAGGCTACACAGCAGAATCTCAAGATTTGGCCGTAGAGTTCAAAGGTTTCATTGAAGGTGATGTGCCGACTGCCTGTGTGAGAGTAGTGATAGAGCAAAGAGCTGAATTTCACCCTGGGGGAGGTGTTCCTCAGCTGTACGCTGCATCTCTGGTTCTTGAGTCTCAACTTCCTCTGCTTAAAAGGGTGATTTGGTATTGGAAGTCGACTCTCTTTGTATGGCTTAGTATGTCGTTATTTTTGGTGGAACTGGTGTCTGCTCTACTCTGCTGCAAACCTCTGATCATCCCGAAGATACACTTGATGGGCAGTCCCTCACATCGATCTTAGCAGATCACACCCTTCATTCCCTGTACAGTAACTTGTTATCAGGTTTGTGTTTGTTTTTCATACGACCACGGAAAGAGTCTCTTGTACTTGAAGCCCTATTTGGAATGTGAATTTTTCTAGCCGAGCAAGTTACAGATTATGAGTAAATTGCTGCTTTTATATTTTAGGGGAAATAGCTCCAAATAGGACCAAATTGTTGCTGAAATTCCCAAATAGGAGTAAGTATAATTTTATTCCCTAAATAGGACTATTCTTCCAATTTTACCCCTCCAATTCATTTCAACCCTTCGGCCCCTCATATCATTCGTCGCGCTCATCACTCTGTCGCATCTTTGTGCATAGCAGAGCTTCAACGGCAGGGGAGCGGTGAGCGTCGACTAGAATCACCGCCGAGCAGAGAGCACCGGCTAGAATCACCGCCGAGCAGCGGCAGCGAGTGCCAGAGAGCAGTGGCAGTGATAGTCAGGTCTCTCTTTCTCGCACTCCTCCGATTTTCAATTTTTTCCATTCGAATCTGGTGCGGTTGCTGTTGGTCCTGGGTCTTCTTCTCTCTTCTTTGGATCCATGTTGTCTGTTTGTGTGTTTCTTTTGTTTTATATATAAGAATTTGTATGAACTCTTACTGTAGTTTTCTCTTCTTCTTCCTCATGTTTCAGTTTTGAAAATTGCTATGTTTGTCAATAATGGTGAAATAAAACTGACGTGGTTTACTTGTGTTGCCACAATTGCCAATTTTTTTTAAAATGCCATAATGCCATAAAAATGGCATTTTAACCTTTAAAAATTTCATATTTTTCTTAGAAAATGCCATTAAGATGGCATTCTCAAATCTCAATTCATGTTGGCATTTTCATAAAAAGGTTGGCATCAGGGGTGGCGTCCATTAGATCTGCCGTAGTGGCGGCCGGATATGTGGTGGAGGCTGTTGGATCGGAAGTGGCAGCGGTGGATCTGCAGGGGTGGCAGGCGGAGGTCAGATCTGGCCCGGTCTAGGGAGGCGGAGGCCAGATCTACGGCAGAGGCAATCAAATCAGCAGCGGCGGCTAGTTTTGAGGTTGCGGCGGCGAGCGGCCGGAGGTGGCCGGTCCGGCAGTCTGTCGGCGGCAATTTATTTTGTTAAGCTTCGGGGTATTTCTGTCAACCTACAAATAATAACTCCCATTAAGAATTTAATTACTCCCATTTAGGTAAATCTCCCTATATTTTATTCAGGTGACTGTTCCACCTAATTGTAATAATAATTCAATAGCTCCGAGATTTTCAATGTTACACACACTTGACAATGGCAATTTTTTTGGAAAAACAAATTTATTTATTAATGACAAGAATAACAAGAACCAAAGCAACTATATATATCATAAGGTGAGATGAGACCTTGAAGTCTTGAACTGATTATCTGAATGAGCCCATGAAATATAACAGTCAGTTCATACTCCATTACTCCTCATGCAGACTCGGCTAATAGTAGGGGTGAGCATCGGGCGGGTTCGGGTCGGGCGGGTGGGTGAACCCAATACCCTTTCGGGTTTCGGATGTGTAATATGGATATCCTATCCTATGTTTTTTTACTTAGATATTTTCGGGTTTTATTGTATTTCGGGTAGGGCGGGTTCGGATCGGGTATCGGGTTTAGTCGGTTTCAAGTTTCAACTAAAATAATTTGAAATTGCAAAATAATTTGTAATTTCAACACCAGTAAATCTAAAATATTACAATTGCAAAACATAATTTGATTCCCATACGGCCATAAATAATGTGAATATTACAAAGTAAAGAGTAAGGGGGTCAAAATTGTAACAAAGAGTTTTAGCATATTACAAAATACAGATTACTGAATTACACAGTTCATTAATCATTAACATACAAAGTTCCAACTAGTCAAGTACACAAAAATGCAAAAATGCTTGAAGACTTTGAAGTTCCACAACTATCTTCCACAGTTTGAAGTTTCCACCAGCATAAGAAAGTTAATGAACACATGGAAAGCAATAGACATGTAGTATAGTAGTACAATATGTCAATAACAACTTAACAAGGATAAGTTAATGAAACAAATCAGAGAAATCATTGATTCACTGACTCAGAATGCTTGTTATCCTTCACAAGGAATATAGGGGCAACTGCTACAATTTCAGTTAAAACTTACATGTTATGAACTGAAAGAGCTATACCAACCTTAAACCATACATTCAGTAATGTGTGGAAGCTTCATCATAGCCTATGAAAATTAATAGAAATGATAGAGTAAAGGATTAATGGGATTATGAGATACTTACACAAAACCTGCAAATCAGAGCAAGGTACAAGGGTCCAGGGATAGTTGGCACTTGGCAGCATGTGCATGCTTTCCAGAATGACAGAATCATGCTCATTCAAATGTAACAAGCGCATAATAGTGTAATACATTATACTCATATTGGCAGCAGGTTCAACACCAAATCATATAGCAATGTACTCATGTTTCATACACATTCAAATGGAAAAACAAGCATATAATGGCACAAATCAGACATTTCATAGAGCTCGGAATGCTTATTATCATTCACAAGGGAAATAAGGGGCATCTGTTATAGCCTACCATTTCAGTTACAACTTACAAGTTACCATTCATGAACTAAAAGAGCAATATCAACCCTAAACCCTATATGCAGTACCAGTAATGAGTGGAAGCTTCATCATAGCCAATGCCAAATCATAGAGTCATGTATTCATGTTCATACTCATTCAAATGAAAAAACAAGCACATAATGAAACAAACCAGGCATTTCATAGTGAAAAAACAAGCACATAATGAAGCACCCCAGGCTACTAATTTTTTCTTGAAAAAACCAACAGCTGTATCATTACTACTAGCATTATCAACAGTCACAGTAAAAATACTTTTCAGACCCCAATCAAGTAAGCAATTCTCTAGGGCTTTAGCAAGGTACTCCCCTTTGTGAGAGGTGACAGGGACAAAGGAAATTATTTTTTTCTGGAGCTTCCACTGATGATCTATGAAATGAGCAGTAATGCACATGTAATTTATCCTCTGAACAGAGGTCCATGTATCAGTAGTTATACTAACTCTCTGAGTTTGTTCCCTAAAATTCCTTTTTAGAGTCATTTTTTCATCAAGGTATATTTGAAAAATGTCTCTAGCAATTGTCCATCTAGAAGGGATTTGAAACCTAGGACAGGCTGCAACAACAAAATTCCTAAAACCTTGTCTGTCTACAAATCTAAAAGGAAGCTCATCAATGATTAGCATTTCACCTAGAGCTCTCCTAATAGCTTGTTGATCAAATACCCAAGTTCCCATGACCCCAGTCTTTCCAGATGGTTCACCTGTCTGTGGAGGTACAGACTGGAAGGTTAATAGGGCTTGTCTAGTGTCTTTAGCATGGGGGTTTTTCATGCAATTAAGCATGTGATTTCTGATGGAGGAACTTCCATGTTTCTTAGAGTGACAACAGTATATTTTTGCACAATATATGCACCTCCCCTTAATAACCACACCCTTTTCATCCTTAATTTCATCAAAGTGATCCCAAATCTTAGATCTTTTGTCAACCACTTTTCTCTTTTGTCCAGAAACAGCAGGTGGTGCAGTCTGCTCATTGGTAATGTTAGTCCCAGGAATTTGACTTTCCACCACTGTTTCTTGACTCAGAGGAGGTTGAGATCCAGATGTAGAAAAGGTCACACATTCTTCAGGGTCCATCTAATGTAAGCAAGTAAGCAACACATGATATATTGATATGTGTATACTAAGCTTCCACATTGTTAATACTTAATACCTCACAGATAAGGCAAGTACGCAACACATGAATAAGAGTTGTACATATGCAGTCAGTAAGAGCTTCCACATAGTTCATATCTCACAAATAATAACCATAATATGTAAGTCTGGAACAATCAGCAAGCTGATTTACAGAAGGATAAAAGCACTTTGCTTTTTCACTTCTCTACAGACTCTGAAGAACCCAGTTCACTCTTTGTACTCGTTTGAGTACTAGAGTACAAAAAGGGTTGTTCAAATTAATCAGAAGGCAATTATGTAAGCAACACATGATATATTGATAGGTGTATATTAAACTTCCACATAGTTTATGTACATGACAACCTGTATAGGTGTATAGGTGCATATAAATACATCACTGCCACATCTCCACACTAGCCAGTACTCAGTAGGCAAGTAGGCAACACATGAATAAGAGTTGTACATAAGGAGTCAGTAAGAGCTTCCACACTTCATTATATAATATATAGCTTCCACACTTCATTCATATTTTTAATAAACAGATTTGAAATTCTGAATGCATTATAAGAGTTGTACATATGCAGTCAGTAAGACAGTAACTCAATCAGGACATCAGGTGTATATATACTAATATAGATCAACAATTAACAGGGACAACTGGACAAGCAAACATTCGAACAGATCTGTACATGACTGAACTCAGAAATCAAGTGTGAACTCAACAGTCATTCAGTCAACACGCAAGTTTCAGAGATATATACGAACATCACAAGTTCACAACTGAAAACTCAGAACATGCATGCATCATGAAGGACTAATCATACCATTGTACAAACATTTTAAAGTATTTTATACCTCAAAGGCTCGAAGAAGAATGATTGGGAATCAGTCTCAAATCTCAAGTCTCAACTACTCACGCTGGGCTAGAAGACTATCAAGGCTTCCACACTTACACTAGGTTGAGGACTACAGCCCTACAACGATGCCAACGGCGGCCGATGAATTGAGAAGTCAGAGTCTCTCACTCCTCTGAGGCTCTGAGTCGTAGAGAGTGTATGTTAGGGTTAGGGTTAGCCGCTTAGAGAGTTAGAGAATAGAGATAGAGTGTAACTTAGGGTTATGTGGGGGAAGCCGGGAAGGGATAACCGGATAAGGGTAATATGGTCTTATGGGTTATGGGCTTGGGGGAAATGGGCTTAGCCTAGGTCGGGTTTTCGGGCGGGTCGGGTAGGGATTAGGAGAACCCTACCCGCTGGGTCTCGGGCCAAGCAAATCGGGCTGACGGGTCGGTTTCAAGGATTCGGGTCGGGTCAACCGACCCATTCTTAAAAATTCGGAGTAATTCGGTCGGGTTTTTCGGGTAGGGTCGGTTTTGCTCAGCCCTAGCTAATAGTATCGCTGCTCCCACTACTAAATGTGTACAATATGATGAAAATTCCAAAATTGTAGCCCAGTTTTAGAGTTATTTTATCAAACATTTTTGTTTCTAATATTCTATAAAAAGTTAGTAATATAAAAACGTAACTCTAAAAATCTATGTTGTGTTTGTAAGGTGAATAACATTATGTTCATTATTGTTGTATGAAATCTAATATGGAAGCTTTTTTTTAACTCCAGGGGGTCTGGGGAGGGGGAGGGGGGCCTGGAGTAATCAGAGCTTAAGCTCACTCCATTGAGTTTCAAACCCATGTGTGTCTAGTGGGTTTCGAACTCGAGACTTCTCACTACACACGGTAACCTCACAACCAGCTGAGCTGGAATGCTTAATTTTATGGAAGCATGTCAATGAAATTGAATTAATTTTATTGTCGGGTTGATGCACTATGCAATTCAGTACTTTAAAATTAATTCAGCAAATGGAATGCTAATTCAATGACACAACTTTCTAGCAAATTTAAAATAAGACGAATTTTATTATTCTCTTTAGGTTAAATCAACTTCACCTATCAACTGTTTCATATTTGTCACAATAATGTTATTTTACTAGTTGTTTAGGATCCTAGAATGCAAGCTTAATTATATGGAAAGGAAAATTCATCAAAGTCATCCACTATCAATCTATGTGGCACTGATACGGGAATGCGGAAACGGGTACAAGGATACGACAAAAAAAGATACGGATACGGTGGTATATTATAAATATTAAAAGTTATTGGAGTGTGCTTATAAATATTAAAAAATATGAGGGTGTATTTATAAATATTAATAATTATAATATTTTTTGAAGATATATACATATAGTATTAAACTCTGCACATCCATGGCAGCGGAACATTTCACATTATCAAGATAATTAGAAATAAATTCATATTTGATCTCATTTATACTAGTGCATCTCGAAATATAAATATAGTTAATAAGTCACTAATTTGAAATGAGAAACAAGTCAAATTACTTAAAGTTCTAATAAAAGATTCTTAATGACGATAGAAAACAATATTCTAATAAAAACTAAAAGTTCTAATAAATATTTTATAAGACTTTTATTATTTAATTTTTGGGTATTTTTTATAAAAAGTGGATACGTGTATCCGAATTTTTAAAATA